TCCCCTTGAGCCGCAGCGATCCAAGGTAGTCCCTACTCTTCTGAATACATTTGTTATCCAGAATATCCCGTGGAAAGTTGCCGAACGCAACAAAAACGAGTATATGCCTACGACAAATTAGGCTCGAATAGGTGATACAGCCAAGTAGGAACCTTTCTGGCAGACAAGCACCAGTTTAGTTCATGGTAACATTTCGTATCAGCCAGGTTTAAACTCTCTGTTGCCGTGAGCATCAGTGACTGTAATCTCCGCCCGGAGAAACGTGGTCTCGTTCTGCGAAAATTGATTCTCAAGTGTATAGCTGTGCGAACTCAGGCCTGGCAAATTTAACAAACCCACTGTCATCACAGAGGAAATGTATATCCTATGCTACCCAACGTAACCACTGTACTCGATAGGTTCCGAGGATAGAATGGAGTACAGCAGAAGTTGGCGGCGCGAATGGTCTCAAATCACAGCTTCTGTATGCACAAGTCAATAGTCTACGCAAGGAGAAAAAGGGATTCCACTTCATCACACAGCGGACGGACCCCCACGGACACCGAAGGAGGCGTCGAATACCCTGTGTCCCTACCATATGATACAGAAATTATCATTGCTGTTCACTGACCCATAATATATCCTATTCAATGGTTATTTCACCCCACAAAAACTAAACTCACGTATCCTATCACGGAGAAGATCTGAGTACTAAAAAGCTGTTGTGTATGCGCAAGCACAGCTCCTCATGGAGTTGTATAATGATACGCTCGAAGTCCACTAGCGTCGGTAGGAGGTGCGCTTATAGCTGCGGCCTTTGCTGCTCTATTCTTCCAATTACCTCTTTTTGATTAAATGGACGTGCTCTATGGGGGGGGAAAACGGGATGAATACGTCCTATTGCCACAGTGAGGTTAAGTACGTTCCGATCCAGCCAAATACCGTAACCTATAACCTAGTAACGGTACTTCAAACGGCAATTGAGGCTACTTATTACTGATGCGCTAGCGGCACAAACTCGGAAGGAATGTAACCAACCTTGCATCGGAGACACTGCAGGGCTTCCGGACGAAAATCTCTATCATGCACTATCAAATCTAACTACTACCACGATCCAACTGAACAGTTAGCCGTAGACACTGGCATAGGTGTTTACGTGGCTCCTGTTCAACATCTCAAAGCATTTCGACTGGTTAGACCCAGCAATTCTGCTCTCCAAACTCCAGAAATCTTGGTATTGGTAATCCTCTCCTAGAGTGTATCAGAAGTTTTCGCCTAACCGCGCTTGTAGGCGAGAACGTGCGAATCGCTAATCCGATCCTATTCGATTGAATGCAAGTACCACAAGGACTCATTGCTGGGACCACGGTTATTTTTGATGTGTATCGACGACATCACACGGCCTCATAAACTCGAAACTACCTGCTTTATTCCGATGACATCAAGGTGTGGTGGGCGATCAATACACCAGTTGGTATGTGCACTACTCAAGCCGACCTGGATAGGGTCCACACGTAGTCAGTCCAGAACCAACTTCAATTTATTGTGGATAAAATGTAGATGTGGCTTCACTTCGGCTACCAGACTAGGATGCTGCTACAGAATCGGAAGCCAGGAACTTCGTGTGGGAGAAAGATCTGGGTCTTTCTGGTCTTAGACCGAACTTGCGATGTTCAAAGCAGACTGACCAGGCGTCTAGATGGATCATTCAGCACTGTGAGCCCCCCTGAGGCGTGCAAGTGAATCATTCGATCCGTCGACTTCTTAGTAACCTCTCGGCTTATGCGTACGTCCACATGTGAAATACTCAATGCAAATCTGGGAGCCAAGGCTGAGGAGGGATCTCACAGCTATGGAGATATCACAACACCGAGCAGGCAAAAGTGTCAGAGGTCTGTACCATTTACCGTACGTAAGAAGTCTTCGAGTGCTCTGGGTCTTCGGTGGACAACCACCAACAATTACGTGAGGACCTTAGTTGGATTTAACAGATTTTGGGGTATCCAAAGCACACATGTCGGCATCTACTGGAACTCATTCAAAACAGTTAAGTAAGAGGACACCATCTAAGTTGGCAGAGCAGTCCAGTCGTTTGAAAGGCCGTCGTAATTTCTTTCCCGTACGCTTTTGCCAAGCTTGGAACACCCACCGGAATCTGTCACCTGTGCCCCTACGCTGGTAGAGTTCAAAGCTCGAGTTGACTGTGCGCCCATTTCGCTGCACCATCTCACATGATTCAGTGCCCATAGCCAAATCTGAGTGCCTATTAGAAATTTCACTGGCGGTCAGCTCCCTGTAAAATTTCCACCTTTTCCCCCTTTGTATGTGTTCACCAGTGGGTAGCCCAATTTCTAAAAGCGTCGAAATTGTCATTATTTTCTTACTGAATTACAGTAGATTTACGGCTTCTAGTATATATGCCGTGGTGAGTTCACTTATGTGGGCCTACTTTGGCTAACAATTTTTTCGTATTTTACATTATTCACCATGACTACTCTACGGGACCTGTAAAACCACCTTTTTGCCCCTATAAAGCTATCGTTCCGTCGTTATAGTGCTCGGTAAGATCCTGAAGTTCATGTTATCTGAAGTGCTCATGGGATGCCTGCAAAAGAAAAAATTCTGGTCTGCAACCGTACGAATTCCGCCAAAATCGGTAATATGCTACTAACCGGTTGATAGCTCATGCATGCTGGACGGAATCTGTGGATGTTGTTGTGCGTGTTGATGTTGCCTATTTGGATTTAGCAAAAGCATTCGACCATCTAAATCATGGAATTCTACAACATAGGCTCCAGAATTATGGAAGCAGGATCCCGTTCTGGGCTGGGTAGGCGATTTTCTCGTTCGAAGTCACCTGAATGTGAGGGTTCGCAGCACCCTATCTGAACCAGTCGAAGTCCAGTGCAGCATACCTTAGGGTTTGGTGCTCGGGCTGCGCCTGTTCCTGGTCTTCCTAAATGCTATCGCTCGGGTGTTATCATCAAACTTCCTAGTATTCGATGAGGAGTTAGAGGTATGACGTGTTATTATTGTAGTGGAGGATTACGCAACACTACAAGATGAGCTGGGTAAAACATACACATAGTCCATCGATTAGCTGTTCCAGTTCAAAGCCACAGAGTGAAAAGTTCTAAGCATACACCATCATAGTACACACAACCACTGGCTAGGACCCCAAATTCTACAGCGGGCTTCTCGTGAGTTCGATCTAGGCGTGCGCAAGCAAGATGACCTTAGATATTTGAGGAAGACTGAAAAGGCACCAAAGGAAGTAAACCAGCACTTTGGCTTCCTCGTACAGCGTTCGGGATGTTCGACGCTTCAGTCTTTCTTAAAATACATGGAGCATATGTGAAGTCGCATGCGGAATAATCTATCCAAGCCTGCCAGCCCTGGCAAAAGCACCACCTCACCATGCTCGACACTGCACAACGCAGGGTGACAAAGAACGTCAGAGCATTGTCCCACCTTTCCTACCCACTCATGCTGAAATCTCTAAAAGCTTAAAGCCAACTTTATCGGCGTCGACGGTGAGGTCGCGTAATGGGATTTCAGATACTGATTACTTTAATCACATTTGCCACCATCTTAAGAAACGCAGCCAAGACACATCTCTGGGTGATCCTGAATTTAAGTTGGCCACGCAGTACAGAAGACTGGAATGTCGACGAAACGTTCTTTCTCTTCGAGTGTCACAGCCCTGGAACGCCCTCACAGTGCATTAATTAGTGCCTCCAACTTAGGACCTTTCAAAAATGCCTTGACGATACCCTGACATATTTACGCTACGTGGCGTAGCCCATGAACACCAAATGATAACATTAATGCAAACAAACAGGGGACTTTGTCGCAAGCCTCCTAAACACCGGGCAGGAATATTCAGACATATGCTAATATAAACCTCCTAGTGAGTTATGTATTTTGCGCCTTATTTTAGTCACGATAATTGTAGCTTGGAACCTTCACCCTAACCATCCTACGGAGCTTTTCAAGCGTTTGCTTTTATACACGTCATAAACCGTTGCTACAGTGCAACTGCATAGAAGTTGACAGGTCGGTCAGTTACTAGGGTGTTGAATGGATGGCTGAAACCCAATTAGGTCTGGTGTGGGGGATGCAAAAATTGGTAGAATCAAAATGGGGTTGATTTCCCAGAACAGCGAAAGCAAAGGGTAATCGTGAATCGGTGAAAGCGCACCGACGTGTTAGTGTCCAAAGAAAGGTGGAATAAATAGAGATAAAACGGAATCCTATCAACATACATACCAAAATTGACGCCTCAAGCCAACAATAGTAGATTTCGATCATTGACTTGTCCTTGTTTAGCTTATCTGAAAAATATGCAACGTGCTGCTTAGTAGGAAGGCGCAGAACAGCTGGACCTGGTCAACCAGCTATTACTGTACATTACTTGACCCTCTGCCTGTTCTGAAACAGCGCTAACCCATAGATAATTCTAGCTGAGTTGGCGGAAAGTTGTGGGATGGTTAGCTTGAAACACAGGCTGCGCTTATGCCACCGAAACAATACTATGCTTCGGGTGACTCCGCCGCAAACTCGACCGTAACTGTGAACAACCTTGCTGAGCGTAGTATTCACTCCCTCTTCCCCCATCATTCATCGAGATTAAGGGGTGAGTGATCTTGTCATTGAATGTCGGAGGTGTAGCAGTTATTGATATGATAAGCGGGTAAACTCATCATTCAGGGGCTCACTTGGTCCATAAACCGAAACTAGCTTAGCAGAGCGAGCCTTTCTAATGAATGCGTTTGCGCCCAGTTTTCTTAGCCTACATGAATATCCTTGGCATTTCACCTGGCTAGCTAGACATGGCTATTCAGATGCTTTTGATTTTTAAAAAATCAAGGCGAAACTTCTTTGCATTTGATGTTACACCTGTTTTTGCATGTGAGACGTGCATTGAAGCAGCAATAACACATCGGTTGACTGATGCATGATCAACCAACTTGCCACTCTATAAAATGGCACAAGGAAATGTGGGCCGCCGAAATGCCTACCTTTGTTGGTAGGGCTTTTAGAGTCCAAGAGCGTCCTTTTCATACGCATCTCCTCCTCAATTCTCGGCCCCAAGCTGTAGCGCTCCACAAAGGCATCAAAGTCATACAACAAAGCATTTATGTACTCTGCCGCAGCACAAAGAGCACTGAGGCTGAGCGAGTCGATTTTCGCCGCAGCCTTCTTCGCTTGTGTTTTCGCTTGTCGGACCAACTCCATCATTTCCAAAGGTGAACTGGGATCATCCGGTAGCGCCAGCATCTCACAACTGGCAATGCTTTTCAGTACTCCGTTTATTCGGTTTTCCAGTATTTGAGCGGCTTCATCCAAAATGCGTTCAAATCGGTTGAGTTGTTTCATGACTTGCTAGTTGGGTACGAGCGACAAAAGTGGGAGAATGGGAAAGCTTTTGTTATCTGGCACATTAATGAGTTGAAAAATTATAAGTCATGCGATATATTCAGAAATGGTGAAAGTCATAAAAAGTGACAGTGGTCATATCTCTAAGGCTGGAGAAAATTATTGCGCTGCTCTTTAAACTGGGCATTTTAGTTGCGGACTATTAAATACCACAATTGCCAGTCTTATCGAGGACTTCTGTAGAACTTACAATTTGGCTTTGCCTAGTGTGTCGAGAAACCTCTACAAGTAAACCATCTGGCTCGAAGCAGAAAAATAGCTTCAGTGAGATTTTGTGGGTTTTAATGTCCCGTGTTGGAATTATGACTAAGCACGCAAGGCCTACTGAGACCAAGTGCGCCCAAACTTGAGGAGCTTCAGAGCACCGAACTGACAGAATTAACGATGGAAAGCTGTTAAGTTGTGGTTGCATTATAATCTAATGCAAGAAAAAATCGTTTCGATACTAGAATTATCACAACGAGCAGTTAATCAAAAACCAGATGGAATGAAGAAGAAATTTGCATTGAAATCTCACAAAAGAATGCTAGAAAGACGCTCTAATTGTCACCAGACAGGCATAAGATGATAAAAATTTCGTTACCGCAGTTTCAACGGGAGCAAATATGCAAAACCTTTATTTGGTATGCGTATGATGTAAATATAGGTAAAGTGACATTCCCTGTTTTCATATGACGTATAGGTTGGCTGTCATTGAATGATTCTTGGCTGTCATTACCACGATCCTCAGCTAAAAAGTCGATCAGGGCCACGTACCTATTTCTGTCAATATACAAGACTCTGACCGTCCAGGTTGCAGGCAACTATTTTAACTTGCAACAATTAGATCCCTTTAAAAATTTGAATAAAGCCTTAATAAGACGAACGTTGGAGGATGTTAACGTTTCGTATCGCCTTTTCAGTGCCAACACAATGACATGAAAATACGTAAGACAACAGGTAGAGTGAGACAGGAACTAGCTAGAACAGGGTGGAGGACAGGCGTGACACGCCTACGCCCAGGGCAGCTGTTTCTGCATCCAGTGGGCGGGTTCGATACGGCTGATCACGACTGCCTTTGCAAAACCCAGTTTGGGCATAGGACCATCGAAAACCATGGAATGAATATGCATAATAACTGTAAAGATCACAAAGTGGAAAAGGACATAAAAATGTTGTGCCTTTAAGACGCACTTTGCACTGCCTTCGGTTTAATGATTACGGGTTTGACAAGTAGAATCAGTGCAGAAATGTATACAAATCTACCATTGTGACCGACACCGCGCCATGTCCCTAAGACTAACCAAACAGCAGTGTTCTTCTTTTTTTGACTGCTCATTACGGAAGGTGGACAACACCGACAACAGGTAGACAGAAAGCGCCTCAACGATTTGTCGCCATGATGTATGTTAACGACTGCGCGATTACTTCCAGTGCGCCCCTGCGCAAGCAGAGTGCCGTGGTGAACGCTTGCTCGGCAACTCAGTTGGCCAGGCACTATTATCAACGTTTAACATGATCGTTGAAAACGTGGTGTTTTAATTACACACCAGCTATCATCCGTAGATGTTATCAAAGGCCGAAATCCGACGAATCAACCTGGATGCATCTCCGTACAACAATACCTCGCGAACATAAAAATTGTGGACCCTGATCTTTATCCGAATTGAAACGTCACGACGACGCCACAGGTGCCTCAGATTAGCGAAAGCTAATCAAACTCTGGCAATACGGAGGGAAATCTCTCTCCCAGTGGTGTCATCAGCAGAAACGTAGCTACTAAGTAGCTGAAACTATTTACTTGTTCAAGCTGCAGGCCTTCAAAAATCAGCCCTGGGTTAAGTGGATTTAATCCCGTACACTGCACAGCCCTTTTTATCTGATTGTGATATGATCAGTTTGTGGCAAAACTCCTGTTGGCGAAGTAAGACGCCAGGTGACGGAGCTTCTCCTTGTATGTCTGAAGTTCGTGCTCTAGAGAAAGAGCCGGTTTTCCTTACTTTACGTGAGAAATATTTTCTGTAGATAGTAAACGTAGCTAAAATTGGTTTCCGCAGACGTCCGGGTAAGCATCATCAAACATTTGGAAAGTCAATTTGGAGTACACGTTGTGTGGATGGATCGCGACGCGCAATCTCAAAGTGGACCGCGATTCCCATTGAAGTGAACCTTGGCCATTCGATCACTAGAACCGCAGCTGATGAAGCAGCACCAAATTGACTTTCCAATCTGTCATTAACCGTTGTGCCAAGCTTTGCCCGTCGTGACCCGGTGGCTTAGGGGTGGCGGTCACAACTAACATCTCAATGGTCCCGGGTTCGATGCCTGCTATCTCTATCTGATGAGAGGAAATAACCTCGAAACGCGTCATGGAGTGCAGTGGTTTCAGGCGGGCAACACCCAATTTGCTGCTGCTTCATCAAACATCTTTGCCGCGAATTGTTATGTTGATCTTAGCTTGGTCACTTCAATGCATAACCGAGCTGTGGTCCGGAGGAACACCTTTAGAGGCAAAATTGAAAAGCAGTTAAGTACAAAACAGGTCATGTAAATCCTCGCTGGCCGTAGCTCATCAAAAGCTATGCCCAGGCCAGGACCTGAAAGTATAACCCAACACACTCGTTTGCATTGTAGAAAATTTTTACTCTCTTAGAATTAGTTCACGCTGAAATGCATTGCCGGTACATGTGGTGTATGCACCAAGCACCGTGACCTTCAAAATACTTTCCTCAGAGTGATGAACGCTCCAAAACAGTATGACGTATTGCCTTATCATGAATTCTGATAGTTCACGCCGAAACATTTGGATGTTCTTAGGGTATTCGCCATTCAGCAGGTTTAGTAAACCCCGCGCTTTGTATCCCTTATTACAATATCGAAGTACGACATTATGGAAACAGTGCATGAGGTAGGTCTACCGGCTTAAAAGTTGTTGTTTTTATTTCCAATTTAGTGTGTTAAAGTCAATTGGTAAGGAACAGGAATTACCTTACTAAACAGAAATATCCGAATAAAATGTCAAGACTACGCAGTCCTAAAACGTTATCATAACTGCCTGCTAATTCATTATGGGGTGTATAACGAAAGTAACGGAAGCGGTCATCGCTGAGGCTCTATTGGACTTTCTAGAAAAAAGCAACATCTTGGCACCGGAGCAGCGTGGCTTCCGTCAACACAGGTCATGTACCACCAAACTACTGATTACACGAGTTAGACGGAAGTGGCTGATGATGGGGTCGGAGTTGACCTCATCTATCTGGACTTCTCCAAAGCTTTCGACCGCCTTGATCCCCGTATCCTACTTCACCGGCTACAGAGCTACGGAATCGGAGATCCTGTACTTGGCTGGATTAGCAACTTTCTTCACTAAAAGGAAGCTTCAAGTACGCGTTAGGGGATCACTCTCTAACCCGATTGAGGTGGAATGTATGTCCCACAATGCTCAGTACTGGGACCGCTCTTTTTCCTGGTGTATATCAACGAGTTGGCAAGAGTTATTTCCTCAAATTTCCTGCTTCGCGCTGATGAAGTCAAGATATGGCGGGCGATAAGTAACAATGAACATCACGATATACTCCAACCTGACTTAGATTACATTTGCGAATAGTCAAAGAAGAACAAGCTTCAACTGAACATAGCTAAGTGCAAGGTGATGCATCTGCGTCACCAGCCGATCAGTACTTACAAACTTGGAGACCACACCTTGGAGAAGGTCCCTCAGGAGCGTGACCTGGGTGTATTGGTACAGGAAGATCTCGGGTGTTCAAAACAAGCAGAGAAGGCGACGAGAATCGGCAATCAACACTTCGGCCTTCTTCGCAGAGCCTTCGGTCGGTTTGAACCCCCAATCTTTCCCAAAATGCTTAACACCTACGTGCGACCGCACGTGGAATATGCTATTTAGGCGTGGCAGCTGTGGAAGAACCAGGATCTTGTTGCTCTCGATACTCCTCAACGAAGGGCAAACAAGAACGTCAGGGGCCTCTTTCATCTGCCCAATCAGCTTAGACTGAAATCTCTAAGAAGCTACATCAGTCGATATCGACTTTTGCGGATGGATCTCATAATGGTTTACCAGATTCTGAAGAACGCAAACCACATTTGCCGTCCGCTGCTGGAGGTGAACCACAACACTAACCTAAGAGGTCACCTTCTGAAACTGAAAATATAATATAACCGGCTTGAATGCCGTAGAAATTTCTTTTCCCTTCGCATGTGCCAGGCTTGGAACGCCCTCCCTAATTATGTCCTCTCTGCTCCCAATCTGGCGACATTTCAAAAAGGAGTTGCTGAGGCATTGTCTCATTTGCATTTCCTTTTACGAATTGTTAACCAGGGGCTACAAAACGCAATCAAACGGTGTCTTACCAAACCCCTAACCAATCGATTTATGGATTTCTACGTTTACTACGCGAACATCTGTGCTATTCTACCTAAGTCTATGGTGAGTCCACCAAAACGCTTTTCACTTTCGCATGCAAGTCACTTTTGCAATAAGTTCCACCTCACGCGACTCTTTAAGCATTGCTTATTTTTACCCGTAATACACCATTGTTCCATTGTTCCCTCCCAGTCCCCATTAATAACCTACCCTCCTTCTATAATTAACAGCTTAATTGGTACCAGCGGCAGGGCTACTGGAGTCACACCATCTGCAACTATGTTCTCGTGCCACCCAATAGACACCAATCTCAAACAGCTCCTTATAAGGTCATACTGTCTTGTTCCCTTGGCGGCCTTGCACATTCGCACTCTAAGACAAAGAAGTCAACAGGCTGCACTTGCACACACCTTGGACATACTGGGTGCGTCAGAAACTAGGATCAATGATTCTTACGGGGTTGTTGAATTAACTGCGCCCGGTTTGTCCTCTCGATATTGGTTGCACGCATCCGGAGACGTTGCTGCAGCAACCCGTAATAAAGCCGGAGTGGGCATTGTTCTCAGCTCCAAGGCTAAGCCATCGT